AATTTTAGAGACCCATCAGTCTGGCTTTAGGAGGAACCACAGCACAGAGACAGCACTTCTGAAGATTTTAAATGACATCAGATGTGACTTAGATAACCACAAACTCACAGTGTTGGTTCTGCTGGATCTAACAGCCGCCTTCGACACAGTAGATCACCAGATTTTATTAAATAGACTGCGGAATGTGGTTGGCCTCTCTGGTACTGTTCTTAAGTGGTTCACGTCCTACCTGACTGATCGAAATTTCTTTGTAAATATGGATACATGTTCCTCAAGGACCCATAAAATTGAGTGTGGGGTTCCCCAAGGGTCAATTCTAGGTCCAACTCTGTTCAACCTCTACATGTTACCCCTTGGGGATGTCATCAGGAGGCACGGCATCAGCTTCCATAGCTATGCTGATGATACGCAACTGTACATCGCCGTGTCTCCTGATGACACAGGGCCAATTGGTGCCCTTTTTAACTGCATTTTAGACATTAAATCATGGATGGCAGCAAATTTCCTGCAGCTCAACCAGGACAAAACAGAGGTTTTAGTCATTGGTCCTGAAGGCCAGAGAGAGAAACCTTTACCAAAGTTACAGGATTTTAAACCTTCAAAATCTGTAAAAAATCTGGGCGTGATTTTCGACTCTGAGCTCACGTTTATTCCACTTATCAAAAACATAACAAAGATTTTCTACCATCTTAAGAATATAGCCAGAGTCCGCCCGTTTCTCTCTCAGGCCAGCACGGAGGTGCTGATGCATGCTTTTATCTCGTGTCTGCCCTGCTCTCTGGTCTTCCCAAAAAGAACATGCAAAACCTACAATTATTACAAAACTCAGCCGCGCGAGTGCTGACGAGGACCAGAGGGCGGGGGCACATTACTCCTGTCTTAAAATCGCTGCATTGGCTCCCCGTGCGTTTCAGGATCGATTTTAAGGTTCTCCTCCTAATTTTTCAGTGTCTTAATGGTCATGGGCCGTTTTATTTATCCGAGATACTTTTACCTTATCAACCCTCACGGACCCTGAGGTCCTCTGGAGCTGGTCTCTTAAAAATCCCACAAGTAAAAACTAAGACATACGGGGCGGAGGCATTAAGTTATTATGGCCCCCGATTGTGGAACAGCCTCCCAGAGAGCCTCAGGGCTGCAGAGAATGTTGATATTTTTAAAAAGAGGCTAAAAACTCATCTTTTTAATCAGGCTTTTAATTGACTAGTTTAACTCTTTTAATCCCTTTTATGCTCACTTTTATTGTTTTACTATTTAACACTTTTTATTACCGTTCTATTTTATTCTTTAATCTATCAATTTTATTATCATTATTTTTAGTCTGGCGTGTTTTACAGTGCACAGAATCATTTTATCTTACATTATTTACTGGGTCTGTCTTAGCGATTACAGTTTTATTCCTTCAGTTTTAGTTTCTATACTTTTATGTCTTATTTTATTCTTTTAGTCCCTCAGTTTTTCCAGTGTTTCCTCCTGGGGGCTGCTTCACCGGGAGCGGGTTCTGGTCTGTTGGTGGGGGCGCCGTTCTGGGGACAGCTCTGGCCTGGGTGGAACCAGAGAGCTCTACACCTTGGTGCGGAGCCTCCTGTCTGCCCGGGCTGGTGGTCCCTGTGACGGCGCCCCCTGCAGCAGCAATGGGCCGGGATGCCTCCCGGTCGACGTGGCCCCCAAAGGTAGCGTCTTCCTCACCTCAGATCTCAGTGCCCAGTCATGTCTCCTCACCATCAGCTGCTTACTGTGTAGATGTGTATGTATGTGAAGTTGTGTGTGTGGAATTGTATGTCTATGTTCACGGGTGTGTGTATGGGTATAATTGTGCGGGTGGGAGGTTTGGGGTTTTCTTGGGGATTTTAATGTTTCATTTTGTTTTTATGCTTTGTAAGGCACTTTGTGTTACAACTTGTAGGAAAAGTGCCATATAAATAAAATAAAGTTGAAAGTTGAAAGTAACGCAATGCTACCTCAATTTGCAATGCTGACAGGCTTGGTATCTACTGCAGTTGTAAATACCTACATTTTTTTCTCAGGTATGATTACTCAAACATTGTGCAATAGCATGTCCAATTCCTCTTTTGCTCACTGTGTCGAACCATTTCTAGTTTTGTTGTTTACATTTTCTCTTTTTTTGTGTCCAATATTTTTTTATATACATCAAAGTTAACTTTCTTTTAATACTCTGTGCAGTGTGTTCATGATGAATGCACATATTCTTCTATGTTTGCTGTGCTGATCCTTTGCTGCTGTAACACTGCAAATTTTCCAACTGTGGGATGAATAAAGGTTTATTTTACCTTATCTAATCTGATGGTGGGTGTTTCTCATTCCTCCAAATCAAAAATACCTTTATTTTTAGTGTTGAAACACCAGGTACACTCAGGTGAACTGATTGTGATGGCTAAGTACAGTCTTGATGTTGAAACACAAAGGTTTCCAGATGTTTTTTTTTTTTTTAAGTTTTGTGTTTGGGACCATCTCAAGTCCCCAGACTGGGTGTTCCATCAACTGGGGGCATACAGTGCATCCGGAAAGTATTCATACTACTTCACTTTTTTCCGCATTTTGTTATGTTACAGCCTTATTCCAAGATGGATTAAATTCCCTTTTTCCCTCAAAAATTCTACACAAAATACCCCATAATGACAAAGCGATAAACTTTTTTTTTTAGAACATTTTGCAAATTTATTGAAAATAAGAACACTCAAATGTTGCATAAACAAGTATTCACACCCTTTACTCAATACTTGGTCGAAGCACCTTTGGCAGCCTCCAGTCTTCTTGTGTATGATGCAACATGCTTGTTACACCTGGATTTGGGGAGTTTTTCTTCCTTGCACATCCTCTCAAGCTCAGTGAGGTTGGATGGGCAGCGTCGGTGCACAGCTACTTTCAGGTCTTTCCAAAGATGTTCAATCGGGTTCAAGTCTGGGCTCTGGCTGGGCCACTCAAGGACATTCAAAGTCTTGTTCGAAGCCATTCCTTTGTCTTCTTGGCTGTGTGCTTAGGGTCATTGTCATGCTGGAAGATGAAGTGTCGCCCCAGTCGAAGGTCTTGAGCGCTCTGGAGCAGGTTTACATCAAGGATTTTGGTCTGTGAGTCCTTCAGGTGCCTTCTAGCAAAGTCCAAGCGGGCTGTCATGTGCTTTTTACTGAGGAGTGGCTTCTGTCTGGCCACACTACCATAAATGCCTGGTGGAGTGCTGCAGAGATGGTGGTCCTTCTGTAAGGTTCTCCCATCTCCTCAGAGGAACACTGGAGCTCTGTCAGAGTGACCATCGGGTTCTTGGTCACCTCCCTGACCAAGGCCCTTCTCCCCCCCCTACTCATTTAGGCTGGGCGGCCAACTCTAGGAAGAGTCCTGGTGGTTCCAAACGTCTTCTGTTTCTTAATGATGAAGACCACTGTGCTTTTTGGGATCTTCAATGCCGCACATATTTTTCTTAAACCTTCCCCAGATCTGTGCACCGATACAACCCTGTTTCGGAGGTCTACAGACAATTCTTTCGACTTCATGGCTTGGTTTGTGCTCTGACGTGCTCTGTCAGCTGTGGGATCTTATATAGACGGGTGTGGCTTTCCTAATCATGTCCAATCAGCTGAATTTCCACAGGTGGACTGCAATCAAGTTGGAGGAACATTTCAAGGCTAATCAGTGAAAACAGGATGCACCTGAGCTCAATTTTGAGTTTTATAGCAAAGGGTGTGAATACTTATGTATATGCAACATTTGAGTGTTCTTATTTTTTATAAATTTGCAAAATATTCCAAAAAAGTTTATCACTTTGTCATTATGGGGTATTTTGTGTAGAATTTTTGAGGGAAAAATGGAATTTAATCAATTTTGGAATAAGTCTGTAACATAATAAAATGTGGAAAAAGTGAAGTGGTATGAATACTTTCCGGATGCACTGTATATGATGAATAAGGTTCTCATTCTAATTAGGGATGCATGATGAGGCAATTTTTTCTTTCTGTTATACAATGTTATACTCTTGTTTTCATACAGTTGTCCGGTATCTAGTGTTATATTATTGTCTAGCATACATGTTGATAATAATTTTGCTATTATCATTGAGCAATAATGGATTTTCCCTTTAGCAAATCGTTATGGTCCGGCTCTGAGCCCATAACTGAGTGTGGAACCAAATACGCAGGATAAAGCATAACAAAGGTAATTCATATTTTCTAAAGGACAAGTTTAAACACCTCTGCACAACCATGCGGACATATTTTGCATTGAATGTATAATCACATTTAACCAAATCAAGATTTTTTCAACAGGAGGTGGTGGTGGTGTCTTTAGGAGCCACCAAAGTTGGGAGTTGGGGAAAATGGGGAGTTCTTTGTAGCTGCTTTAACTTGTGAAGAAGGTTATCATTTGTTCTGTCAATTTTTTTCCTGCTTTTCTTCAGTTTGCAGTGTCACAGAGCTATGAGGATGCAAATGTGCTCAGATGCTTGGCAATAGATAGTGATTTCTCTGGTCTCTCCACCCCTTTGTGCTGGGCCAGAGTGATCCGGCTCTCGGATCCTGCAATGTTCCCCGGATAAAAGCAGACATGCATCTGTTGATGACTCCTTCCACAATGTTCTTCCTGAAAGTGTAATCCTTGACCACCGATAGTGGGGACACCACATATTGTTGAGCAGCCTTTGAGTTCTGGGGCTCTATTTTCGTGCCTTGCCGGCGACGCGGCGTAAGTGAGGTCCGCCGCGCCGACAAGGCGTTCCCAAGCACAATTTGGTATTTTGGTGAGCGGTGCAGCCCGGCTTAAGTATCCCCCCTCCCTAACTCAGCTCCTCCCAGCGGCGTAAATCATAGCCAGGGAGGAGAAAGGGCGGGGAGTGAGTTTAACACAGATGGATTTGGTATGTGTAATGTTGGACCCACTGGTAAGACAAACACCCTTTTCCACAAATAAAGACACTCACATAAAGTTGCTCATATTCAAACCTCACGTGACAAAGGTGGGTTGTGCGCAGAGATCACAACATAAATTCCAATAATGGCATTAAAATCGAAACCATCTGTGCGTAAATAACGCATCGCGCTCCGTGGCCTGGCTCTTTCTTACATAGATGTTGGCATATAAAATAAATTTGGCTCACAAAACTGAATATTATAATATCCGTATGTCGGCTTAAAGTAGATAATGCAGAGACGATTTACATATCTTGTTAACTTCATCATGTGTGTCTATTTACTAGATATTTAATTTAATTTAATGCGGTTTCAGCTGTGTTGATTCGGTCAGGTTGTGTGTCCAAACGCGTGCCAAACGCGCTTATCAGATCAGATATAGATCAGAATATACCGATATAGATCTAAATGTATGTGCTAACTCAGATTAATAGTTGATGATGATTATTTATTGCACTGAAATGTGCCTGACACTGTGGAAACCTGCCGGTGAGGCATCAGTGACGTATGCCGATACGCCGCCGGTCTACCAAAATACTACTAGACCAGCTGCATTCCGCCTGCGCTGAAAGCTGACCAGGTTTGAATCAGCGAGCTTTCAGCGCACTTTACACACCGTTGGCGAGCACGAAAATGTCACTGCGCCCGCTGATTCTGTCGACACCTACCCCTGCCACGCCACCACGCCCAGCTTGGTGGATCTCGGCTCGCCTCCGTGCTTCTCAGTCCACGAAAATACCAAACTGGCTGTACGCGGGGCTCGCCGCCCTCCGCCGCCTCACGGGCATACACGAAAATAGAGCCCCTGGTGTTTATGTTTTTCCTCTCCTTCTTTTGTTTTAGCTGTCTCCCTGTTTACATTACTGTTGTGATCCACAGCAGCAACATGCAGAAGTGCCTCCAAACTCTCCCAGAAATTTCTTCCTCTTTGTGGCATACTTTGTGTACAGAGAGTGAAGACTTTCTAGCTGTTTCGTGTGGACGCCCAGTGTAGTTTTTCTCTGCTTGTCAAGCGCAGTCTTCTGAAGGTTCTGGAATGCTGCAGAGCTAGGTAGGAGCCATGGACGCTGACTCTCTCCCTCAGGTGTGTAGGGAGGGTACTCACACTTAATCGTGGTCTCACCAGATACCCAGTGGTGCACGTTTGTAAAGTGACTCAGGAGTGAGATTCACTTCTCTTTTAACTTGGTCATGCTTCCCTAACATGTGGTGACACAAAACCAGAGGTGGTTTGTGATCAATCTGATCCACTCAAACAACTCCCTGTTGTGGCAGAGCAGGAGTCATTTTTTGACGGACTTCACAATGTGCTACAGGTCATATTCATGCTGTATGCATTTATATTCTTCACGCCTGACTGTCTGTACTGATGGGTGGCAGTCAGTGGCCAAAACAGATATCTTCACATCATGCTCCTCTAACTTAGAAAGGCACCTCTCCAGACCCTCCAACTCAAGCCAATAACTGTTCCTCACCTATGTGACAGATACAGTTTCCTGCGCTACTACCAACTTTGATTTGGTGTCTAGAAGCGAGTAGGTTCCATGAGTAGCACTGTGACCTGGGCTTTCATATCTGCCATCTTCTGACAAAGTTAGCAGCTGATCATTTAGAGCACTTAGCATAGCTTCATTGTGAACTGTCCACACGTAGTTGTCCACACAGACTCTGTTGCCTTCACCTCATGGTGGGGACCTAGCAGGGGCATGGCTTTCCATAGGTGAGGTGCAGTATGAATAGTCGTTTTTAATTACTTATGCTGTGTCTCATTTCAGAGTCGCACCGTCGAATGGTGCATTTGAAGCGTGCTTAATGTCATCACGCGGCGTGAACGGTGTCCCATTTGGCACAAAATGCTAAGCGCGTTTCAAATTCAGTCTCAAAACCACACTACCCCGCCCCTTTTTCAAGCGTGCATTTATTCATGCTTTCGTGCCGTTGGTATCCCAGAATTCTTTGCTAGCCGCTGCACAGCTGCGCATTTCAGGTGAGAGGCTGGACTCGCTTGGAGACGCAGTGCGTCTTCAAAGAAAATACAAGAAATCCAAAAACAGCAGACAGTCAGCTTAGGCTACATGAGCGCATGATCTCTTAACTCACTAAAATCTGTAAACAAACATTACAGTCCTAAGAGATGAACTGATCCGCTCTGCTACCACAATCAAAAACATTAGAAATAAGAAAGCTGACAAAACTGCAGCAGAGGATCATTGACACATTGAGGTTTTTTTTTTAAGATTTAGAGATTAAAGTTGTAAACTTGGGAGAATAAAGTCATAAAGTAAATAAAGTCATAAAGCTGCTTTTGTGGAGGGGGAAATGACTGGAGCTGGTCATCTGCAGGGTTACCGGTACACCAGTTTTTTTCCCCGTGGAAAAGATGTATTTCTCATATATTCTCTTTTAAGTCTTTATACTTGTGACAATGTAATGCTGATGTGCCAAAGGATGAAGTATCTCCTTGTTTGTGAAACCTATACTGAAGCACAGCTCCTTTAAATGCTTCATGGCCCTAATTTTAACAACTCTCCTTTGAAATAACAGGTAACCTTATGACTTTGTTCTCATAAATTAATGACTTTATTCTTGTAAATTCACGACTTCAATCTCGAAGTCTTTAAAAAAAATTTCAATACGGCCCTCATACTCCTTCATACAAAACAATCATTGGATGAATTTTGTGGGAATGATCTGTGCTTGTATGTATCTATTGTTTTGTGTTGTGCAAGGTCGCACAATTAAAAAACTAGAAAAATTGCATTTCCTTGCAGAATATGCGTGGAAATGCTGAGTGCTGAAATCTGAAAAAGCAATGCTGAACTGCTACTAAAAAATGGAGAAAGGTATAAATGTTAAAGCTGTTGAAGGGGTGAAAAAGAAATACAAGTTGGATAATTGTGAAAATGGTTCAGGAACAAAAAATATGAATATGCTCTATAAGAGGAAATTTTATTCATGCTGAAAGATGTTAGAAAAATGTCTAAAATTGCACAAAGTTTGAATGAAGAAGGAAATGACCTTAAAAGGCAGGAAGGTGAGAAGTGGCATAGGTTTTAAGTATTAGTACTAGAAGTAGTATGATAAGTAGTCAAAGTAGTGATATTAGTAGTCATGTAAGCAGTAGAAGTGGTTTGAGAATAAAAGAAGTACAGGTCAAAGTAGTAGAGAAAGTAGTAGTGGCAATAGCAGCAGTAGAGGAAGTAGAAATAGGAGCAATAACAGTTAAAGTAAAGGGGAAAGTACTAGTTTAATTGACATTAGCAGTAGTTGTAGTACTAGAAGTGGGATTTTGCTTGAAGGATGAAATAATGCATAAATATTAAAACTAATTTAAATCATGGAAAATTTAAATAATTAAAAATCCTCAAGTATTAGACAGTTTTTAAGTATCAGAAAGGTTTAAATGAGTTTGAATGAGTTTAAAAAATTAAATAATAAATCATTACTAAGTGACTTTAAAATGTGAAAATTTTAAATGAATAAAAATCCTGATTACACCCCATAATGTCCTCAATGAGATGAATTTTTGGAGCCCTGAATGGTTTCTGTAGTTCAAAGTTTGTGGAAGGAGATAGGGGCCTAAGTTCGTCAAGCGCTCTAGTGAAGGGTTTTAAATGTCACCCCCAGTGCTAAGTGTACTGAGCCTGGCTTCATGTGTCTCAAATGGCCGTTAGAAGAAGCTTTCCAGTCAGCTGTGTGTCTCCAGGTGCACTAATTGGTTGCCATGGGAACGGTAGATGCATAACAGCAGGAGAAAGAGGGCTTGAAGCTGAGAAAAAATATCCCAAACTATGCCCTGAAGCTCATTCTTTGTAATGGCTACATTCATGATAAGAAACTTGTGACAACCCCACGACTCTGCTGAACATATTGATACAATTAATGAACAAAATCCTAAATACACTCCATAATGTCCTCAATGAGCTGAATTTTTGGAGCCCTGATGGTTTCTGTAGGTCAAAGTTTGTGGTAGGAGATAGGGGCCTAAGTTTGTCAGGTGCTTGGCATGGCCTGGCTTCATGTATCTCATATGGCCGTTAGAAGCAGCTTTCCAGTAAGCTGTGTGTCTCCAGGTGCACTAATTGGTAGCCAAAGGCAGTGACACACACACACACACACACACACATTGTCAGACTGTGTGTGTGTGTCTTGTTAATGATTTTATCCTAAACAGCTGTGAGATCAAAGGCATTAACTGACCTACTGTTTGAATGAGAAGCTGCCTAACTGCAGTGAATTCAGGGCCTCTAAACTTCTTCACATAGCGTGATTTCCTTAAATCCCAGAATGAAAATAAGAACATTGTACTAATCCTCCACCCCTCATGAACACAATGATGTGTTTGATCATGTCTGTACTCTAAAAAATGTGGCCACAACAGGGAGTTAAAAAAAGTCTGAGCCTGAGTGATGATCAGGATTTTCATGGAGAAAAATTACATAAGGGCCAATGCCAGGGTTCTTTGCCTTTTTTGGACAGTTGGTCACCTGCTGGCCAAGGGGTATGATTTAATGATTTGAAACCTCTTTTGTGAGAAGCAGGACACATATACCTCCATTTTGATGTATTTTTTATGGCTGTGGAGTGAAATTTGTGGGCGTGGGAGCGATATATTCGAGCAAGTTTTTATCGATCCAAGAGGAGGTCTGCACTCTAGCGACGACATCATCACTCTAGCTCTTCCAATACACACCCATTATAAAGCCTGAAATTTGCTGAAAACCATGAGTTGCTTAAAGCTAAATTGTGGAAAAATTGTAAAAGATATCAAAAAATTGAATACAAATGAAAACAAATGAATAAAGAATAAACATTGAATACAAATGAATAAAGTGGAAATGCTTAATCAGCATTTCCACTTAACAATAAAGAAAGAAAATGGCCGACAGGAATAACAGTAAGTGGAAATGCTTAATCAGCATTTCCACTTAATAATAAAGAAAGAAAATGGCCAACAGGAATAACAATAAGTGGAAATGCTTAATCAGCATTTCCACTTAATTTTAATAAAGAACAGAATAACAGTAAGTGGACAGCAGCAGCAGTGGTGGTCCTGATGCTGCTGGTGATGCTCCTGCATGTCATTCACCACAACTGCAGGAGCCCTGGAAGACAGAGGCAGACCCTGCCCCTTATCCAACAAGTACATGGGAGGAGTGGACACCTCTGTATTCTCACTGATGTCAGCCTTTGGAGATCTGTTGCTAGACACCAGTTGCCTGCATGTCTGCTCAACCTGTCAACACACATTTATTCTCAGTTGATGCCAAAATGTTGTTGACCGCCATTGTAGCGACTTGAATTTATAATAAATGTCTTAAGATTAATAACGTTAAATTATGACATTTATGCACTAGTTGAAAGGGGCACCACCCACCCTTTATGGTGGGAAAATTAAAGAAAAACGAACGTTTAATTCAGAAATCAAACATTAAGTCAATCTTAAATTAATCAATATCATATCTCAAGCTGAAATTCTCATTTCAGGGACGCCACTTCTGGAAGAACACTAACAGACAAGAACTTAAATGAAAAAAATAAATGATCTGTTTACTACAGGATAAATGATGGTACAACATCCATGCAATAAATGAGGATAGGATGAATATAGATAATAACAGATGAATGAAAGATTCTGAGTCAGGCTAAGACTACTCAAGTTACTGATAGTGAGTGAATATGCTTTAACATATTAACCTACATTAACTTTGGTGTAAAGATAAATTTGGATGTGGTTATCTGAATCGAATGCATGAGACACCATCAACCCTGTTTGGAGCTCCGGAGGTTTGGATACATAAGTGAGGCTGGTCCCTGGAGAGGATGGAGCAGGTTCCGAAGGTCCGAGGCTACTGGTTCAAGAGGTTCAGCTCTGAAGAGGACCGAAGTCAGATGAAGCACAGGCCAGGGGTCACAGCACACAGGCCTGAATGCAAAAACCAGTGCCTTATATTTCCTTTTGATGCTCGTTTGGTATCACTGCAACACTCTGGCTCAAAGGATGACATTGGGCCTGCTGGGTGGTGTTCAGAGGTGACTTGGCAATCACGCAGATAACCAAGGAATAGAGCAGGGGTCGGGAACCTTTTTGACTCAGAGAGCCATGAAAGCAAATTATTTGGAAATTTATTTCAGTGAGAGCCATATAACATATTTTAAGACCGAATTCAACTAAATGTGAGTATAATAAGCCTCTGAATTTATTCTTTTAAATAATGTTGTTATAATACTCACCATTAATGCGACTTCTGGTGCTGCATGGATTTGCTGATGGCTTTGTAGTCTGGTTGGTACTTGGTGAGGTTAAGCTTCATGCAGGCATTGAGGCTTTCATCCGTTAAACGTGATCGTAGGTTGGACTTGATGTTTTTAAGATGTGAAAACGACTGCTCACATGAATACGTGGATCCAAACATGGTCAATACAGCAATACTCACACACTTCAGTGTGTCGTATGTGACAGGAAGTGCGTTCCAAGTTTGGATAATCAGCTGGTCTTCGGGTTGAAGTTTTTTCATTTCTGTCCACATGTGCTTGCTCGCCAACTCCGCTTTCGATCACTTTCGATTCACGATCATGAACAGTTCTTGCCGACAGAGGCATGTCTTGTATCCGTTTGATTATCTTGTCTTTGTTCGGAAGATCATCAAAAAGTTCATTGGCTACATCCAGCATGAACGTTTTAGCATACTCGCCATCTGTGAATGGTTTTCCGTTCCTCATTATTGGTAAAGATCCAGCAAAACTAGCGGAATTATAGTCACCTTGCCGGGTCCATACGCGGAGATGCTGCTGGGTAGCTTGCACCCTGCTCAGTAGCTCTTGGCACGCTTTCTTCTGGCTGTCTCCCACAGGGTATTTTGATGCAAAGGTAGCATGTCGTGTGTCGAAGTGCCGCTTCACATTCGACCGTTTCATTGATGCAATTTTGTCATTGCAAATTAGGCACACCGCAGAACCTGCTCTCTCCACAAAGGCGAATTCTTCAGTCCATTCGTCCTGAAATGGACGATACTCATCATCTTTTTTTCTTTTCGCCATCTTCTTCGTCGAAGGGTTAGCTTTGAGCTAATAACCGCTCAGACTGATTCAAAAGGGGGCGTTTACCTGTTTACCCAACAACGGCCAACGTGGGCTATTATCAGCCAATTAAAATAATGGACAATTGCTCCTGCAGCCAACTGCAGCCCTGAACATGACATGAACAGTGGAAAATCCATGGATGGATTAAAACAAGTGATAATATTTTATGCTTTATCTGAAAAGCCGAAATCTGCGAGCCAGATGCAATCATCAAAAGAGCCACACCTGGCTCGCGAGCCATAGGTTCCCGACCCCTGGAATAGAGGCTCGATGACCAGTTAAAACTATTTCAAAATTGGCTTTGCGAAATTAAAGAAAAATCAATTCAATGAGAAAACAAGCAAAGAGGGAACTAAACAAGCGGAAACAAAAAGAAAACAAGAGCAAAAGGGCAAGGGCAAGAGAGGAAAAAGCAAGAGGGCAAGAGCACCCCAACTTTATTGGTTTTATACTCTTCAGACTGGGAGTGTCTCTAAGGTGTGAGGAGAGAAAGGAGGGGGTCCTGATCCCCAGCTGCAGCTTCCTGAGAGAAGACTTTCAAGAGCCCTGATTGTTTGATCCAACTTATACTTTGGCTAGTAAAGGCGTCAGATCAAATACTCACTCACTATGATTAATGTTAAAGAATGGTTGGTTCATAATAAAGGATTTGATGCTAAACACATATAAAGAATTGTAGAATCACATTGACGAACATTCTCATTATGCTTTGAGTATCACTTTTCAAAGAACACTGATCATGTTGAATTACTCTGAAATGAAACAGATAGAAACACATAAACTGTGAACAACACAAGGGTAAACACATGTAAATGAACTTCATAACAATGGAATCAACAAACCAACATTCAGGTTATTGACTAACAGTATAACTACCTAATGGTTAACACAGCTAAACAAATGATGAAGAGATAAACATTTCTACACTATTCCTACTAGAATAGGGTTGTAATTCAAACATAATAACTTCAGCTCTTAAAAGTTCATGAAACAGTTTGGAAAGCTGTTGATCTAAAGCAGGGGTCGGCAACCCGCAGCTCTGGAGCCGCATGCGGCTCTTTCGTCCCTACGCTGCGGCTCCCAGTGGATTTGGAAAATAAATAATAAATACTTAATTGCATTTTATTTTATTATTATTATTTTTTTTGTAATTCTAAATTCAAAGATTAAAATGCTCTTGTAACATTAAACTATTAAGGCTGCAACAACGAATCGATTAAGTAGATTCGTCGTGACGAAAAAATCCGTTGCCAACAAATTCTGTCGATTCGTCGGGTCTTTATATATGTCCATGGACACCGGCGTGTAAACATCAGCAGGACGCACAGAAAAGAAACAGCCATGGCCGAGGCAGCGGCTGAGAAAAACAGGGACACAACCCAACCCAAACCCTGACCTAAAACATCAGTGGTATGGGGTGCCGTTTGTAAAGCAGCCCATTATAAAAACAACAGCAAGATTTGGTCACATGTAGCTTCAAACAGCATTTAAAAAAGTGATGTGAATTTTCGGCAGTCATTTTTTTTGCACATTTACAACAACATTTAAATACTAAAACTAAATGTTAAATGTTAAATCTAAATGCTAAATATAAATGTTAAATATATATGTTTAATCTAAATGTTAAATCTAAATCTAAATGTTAAATCTAAATCTAAATGTTAAATGTTAAATCTAAATGTGTTGGGCGAAACTAAATATTTAGCTAATATGCAAATTCACGGTCGGAAACCGGAAGTGCCAAAATAAAAGCTCCAGAAGGTCATATTGATGATTCTTGTGTCGAAGAAAACGAATTAAAACCAATTTAAGGGGGGAACAATTACTTGGGGTGACGTTTCGTGTTAATAACTACCTACAACTACATACCTACCTACCTACCTACTGCTCCTTTGTGGCGGACAGCAGCAGTATCATGAGTGCACCTGCATGTGTGTGTGCGTGTTCGTATAGTGTCCGCGCCACACGGAGAAGCGACACTGAAAACTCGAGTCTTTCTAATAAAGTTTTTGTTGTTGCTGTTGCTATTGTAGGTAGTTATTAACACGAAACGTCACCCCAAGTAATTGTTCCCCCCTTAAATTGGTTTTAATTCATTTTCTTCGACACAAGAATCATCAATATGACCTTCTGGAGCTTTTATTTTGGCACTTTCGGTTTCCGACCGTGAATTTGCATATTAGCTAAATATTTAGTTTCGCCCAACACATTTAGATTTAACATTTAACATTTAACATTTAGATTTAACATTTAGATTTAGATTTAACATTTAGATTTAGATTTAACATTTAGATTAAACATATATATTTAACATTTATATTTAGCATTTAGATTTAACATTTAACATGTAGTTTTAGTATTTAAATGTTGTTGTAAATGTGCAAAAAAATGACTGCCGAAAATTCACATCACTTTTTTAAATGCTGTTCGAAGCTAAATGTGACCAAATCTTGCTGTTGTTTTTTATAATGGGCTGCTTTACAAAGGGCACCCCATACAGTGGTGTGGGAAAACTTCACCAAGACTGAAAAGGAAGGCGTTCAGTGCAACATTTGCAAAGACCGTTTTGCATGGCTCGGGAGTACATCGATGATGCGTGAGCACAGGGCTCTCAAGTCTCACGCATTCAGCGTATGACACACGCATTCCCACAAGTTCACACGTTCACACACCACACATTGTATTTCTCACGCATTTAAATGAACACGGTGATCTCCACCAAGTTGCACTTCTTCAACTATGGAACTGGGGGAAATCAACTGAGTTCCTCCGAGAGTTCAGATGCTGCGTGCCACGCACAAGCCAATCAAATAAAATATATCTACTGAACAGCCAATCAAAAAGCAGCATTGCTGTATCCGGGTAGATTTTGATATCTTGCGGTTTAACTACAGAAGAAGACAGACACTCGCCGAAATAGTTCATTTATTTCATAAATGCAACTCGCTACAGTTTTTTATATACTTTGTATAAAGGTAAAAAAAAAAAGATATATGCAATGTTATCTTCATTTTAGATGTCAAAGAGGTTTTGTGGCTCCCTGTGTTTTCTTTTCTGTGGGAAACTGGTCCAAGTGGCTCTTTGAGTGTTTAAGGTTGCCGACCCCTGATCTAAAGGAACTTTAGGATCGAAGGATTTATTCTGTCAGTGTGAGATCTTGGCTTATGAACATGATAGGCAAATGGGACACAGACTGTTTCACAGCAAATGTTGAGTACTGACAGAAGATCATGGTGTAGTGTCCATCCAGCCTGTAATTGGACTAGGTGTAGTTATTCTCTTTGGATTGTACTCACAGAGAGCACGGGAAAGATCATCCAAATGTAGAATTCATGGCTGAGCTGATAAACCTGACGCTTCCCAGTCAAGGTGTGATGACAGATGTTTATCTGATCGAGTGGTCCTGCAGTTCTTTCCTACTGGCCATAAACAGTGTCTTTGTCTCTTTAAAGTAGAAAGGATAGAAAGTTTGTGTTTTGGGATGGCTCCTTTGGTTATCTTGTATAGAGACAGGATGTTACACACACACACACACACACACACACACATACACACACACACACATATATGTATATGTATATATATATATATATATATATATATATATATATATATATATATAGATAGATAGATAGATATACATATATATATATATTTAAAAGATAGACCTAGACTTTATTGTCATTGCACAGAAAAAAAAAACACAGCAGTGAGTCCTCTCTACAACAAAATGTCATTGCTTGGCTTTCATATCACAGCATTCACCTGCAGTGTTTAAATAAAAAAATAAAAACAACAAAAACTAAGGGTAAAATAGCAGAATGGTAAGTATTATTGCACTTTCTAGAGTTAGAGTGGTAGTGGAATAAAAACAAATAAATAACAGTCTATAAAAAGAAATATGCCTTATTTACGCAGAATATATAGTATACACAGGAACACAGTGCAGCAGGGTGGGAGTTGGGGGTCCTGTATAAGAAGGATGATTTGGATGGGGGTGGTGTCAGTCAATAACCTCAGGATCTAAAAAGGGGGGCGGGACTGATTGATCGATATTGCGTTCATGTCAGTGACGCAACAATCGTGAGAGACTGTTTACTTTCCGTGATAGTTTGTGAATACTGTATTTTGTGTTAAGGGCATAATCATATACCTGTCTCTTCCCTGCCGCTCTAGCATGCCTCACTGCTCTCTCCCTGCGGCAGACTGATGAGTGGCTGTGGATGTGTACAGGGCTGTCATTGGAGCACAGGTTATAAGCCGAGACATCAAAAATTGATGAAACAATGCAAATATGAGAGTCAGCGCCTGTGGGTGGGCTCTTCCTCTTCAGTGCTGCTAACAAGCGCCGCAAAAATGCACATGATGACTGACTACTTCATTTTAACTTTAGTTAAAAGAGTCCATAACTGTCAAGTTTTATCTTTAAGAGGCTGACAACAGGGCCTTTCTTAATTCCTAAATTTCATTTTCCTCTCCAGTATGAAGCTCATATTACATTTCTAAAAGAGCAGTGAGGCTATCAGAGGAGCAATATTTACACCTAATTACAGTGTTGGAGGCCGTCAGCAGGATGGAGATCCGTAGCTGTTCTTTTTAATGGTTCAGATGTTTTGGGCATAAAAATCAGAAAAGGTCTGCCATGGTGAGGAAAAGAGGATACGACTGTGTTTAATTCAGGATCCGCTCACCAAGAGTGTCTTTTATTCTTTTCTGTTTCTTCCTCACTTCTCCTGGGCTACATGATAGGGGTTATTGCAAAGGTTAGTAGGCGTATCGGATACTCATGGCGGAAGCTGCTCCAAAGGTCAAGCGGGAGGACAAAAATTCAAACTGATTCTGCAAAAAAGCTCAATAGTTTCCCAGTTCTCCTGAAAACAGAAGCACAAATTAGTCATTGTCGTAGAATTTCTTCATACATTTAGGTTAGGAAATATAGATTCATTATTCTTTAGTAAGGAGCTACAAATAATCTAGGTTGGCCTGCTCATGCAGTCTCATGACCCAAAACTATTTGTCTCGTCTAAACAAAGTGTTGAGGGTCAGAGATGTCATTATGGGTAGCCTTCTGGAGAACTGATATGACATACCCATGATGAGGGAATATTCACACACACACACACACACACACACACACACACACACACACACACACACACACACACACACACACACACACACACAACAGTATAAAAGGAGTAGAAGAAAAAGCTAAGGAGGCTTCCCTTGTTTTGGTCGAGACTCTGTTTGTCATCTGTACTGATTTCTACATCTGTACAATAAAAGACGCCCAGGCTGTTCTTCAGGTCTCATCCTGTCTCCTGTGCATTGTTTTACTGAGTTTATGCTGGATTTTCTACAACATATTGGCGAGCCAACACAGGATTCATGTCTGGGAACCAGGGGCTGTGACTCTGCGACCTCTCACAGGGGAAGACGCTTGGGGCCCCAAAAAGAAAATAAGGCAGGAGATCTCCTAAACATTTTCTGAGTACTTTGCCCTGTGAGATAGCTTAGACCTACGCTCTCTGTTCCCTTCGAATCAAAGAACCTAGAATAGAAAAAGAGGAGACTGTGGGAATGAAGACAGTCTGAGAAAACTGCATGCTTGCAGTCAGGTGATCAAAGTATGCCAAATTTGTGAGGAAGGCAATCAAAATTGGATATATATCAGCTGAATATAGGGGAAATTGCAGTGGGTTGTGTGAGACCGTTATATGTGGAGCTAGTTAGACTGGGTGCTAAGCGGCACAAGGCCAGTAGTTGTGTGGAAGTAGCTAGACTGGGTGTGGAGCAGCACAGGCCAGTAGTTGTGTGAAATTAGCTAGACTGGGTGCGGAGAAGCACAAGGCCAGTAGTTGTGTGGAACTAGCTAGACTGGGTGTGGAGCGGCACAGGCCAGTAGTTGTGTGGAATTAGCTAGACTGGCTGCAAAGCGGCACAAGGCCAGTAGTTGTGTGGAGCTAGTTAGACTGGGTACTAGGTGGCACAAGGCCAGTAGTTGTGTGGAACTGGTTAGACTGGGTGCTAAGCGGCACAAGGCCAGTAGTTGTGTGGAGCTAATTAGACTGGGTGCTAAGCGGCAAAGGCCAGTAGTTGTGTGGAGCTAATTAGACTGGGTGCTAAGCGGCAAAGGCCAGTAGTTTAGGGGGAGACCGGTGTATTTGAAGCTTTTTACATTGGGTGCAAAGGAGCATAGGCCATTAGTTGGGTGGACACTGGTCTACAGACAGCCTGGCCCGGGCTGTGATGTGTTCATTTTTAGGCTTAAAGCCTGGTGATAAGGAGGTCTGGATAAGTGTTGAGATAACAAGGGGAGCGGCAGGCACGAGTGTGTCTGTCCATTGTTGAACTGTGAGTTTTAGGTCATTCTTTTATGCGCTCTGAAAGG